ATTTGCACGTGTAATATATTTGTATTTGTAATTTGTATATGTAATAACTAGAATTCGAAAAAATGTATAACTTGTGTTTTTGTAATTTGTAATTTGTACGTGTAATATATTTGTATTTGTAATTTGCATATGTAATAACTAGAATTCTATCTATAATTACAGATTCTTCAATTCATACCTATAATTATAGTCTCTCACGTAGAAGTGGTCTGAAGTGAAAAAAGAGAGGTGTCGAAAGACAGTGGAAACATGTTTTGTGAATATTACTAGAAAGAAATTACTGGAAAGACTGTTACTTGAAAGCAGCGTAATTGAAATTCGTTCTACATGCTAGAAAAAAGAAAATGTTCCACCTTGTGCATTTATACACGCTAAAAGGAATAAAAACTATTCCACCTTTGCGACAAAAATTCATATTAATAAAGAATGAGAAATGATCTTGAAATACATCTTGAAATCGTATTGCAAAGCAAAATTTCCATATTCTATTTCTATTTCCTAACTATGACTCTTTTAATATCGCTGATGTTAATTGCATCAGATTATATTTTCGATCGATCAATAATACACGTTGCGATATATTTTCATACTCATCTGAATATTTATGAACGAATCGCTTTAATTAATGCTTGAGCAATTATTATAATATTATATTATCATGTTGCATGATACAACAAATGATCGAGCAAATTGGTTAATGACCACTGAGCTGAAGCAAAAATTAATAAAAATAATCAGAGAAAGAAGAAATGTATTCGTGCGTTAATCGAATATCGATTCATTCGATCACATCGAGCAAACGCCGACGACGTGAAAAGAAAGCTATTCGATCGAAGATGTAGGCGGAGGTACGAGCGAAAAAACTGCGACGCGATTTCCCGTGTCGGAGAATCACCGTCGAAATTGCAAATGGTCACGCTCCGAGATGATTCAATTCCACTCTAGTAAGCAAACCAGCCATTCAAGAAAGTGTGCCAGACAGAAAGTTTACTCATACGTTTCGGGAACAAACGAAGGAGAAGATCGAACAAACGTTCGAAGATCACCGGATATTTTCAGTCCGACGAGAGAAAGGCGCGAGGAAAGAATTTGTTTGGTGGCTCTTCTCTGAATTTAAATCGATCTCTTTTCTGAATGTGAATTACTGTGAAATTAAGATGAATTATTTTCTATAATTTGTACAGAAATTGGAGTGAAATTCGATTTCTAATCTTTCGGCAACGTTCGCGAACGATAAATGTTGAATTTAAATATCTTAGAAACGATCGAAGAAACGTCAGTTCGAGAGTGTATCAACTTTTATCGTTTTAGCCTATTTTCTCTTTGGAATCTAATTTCAACTCGATTACATTGTGCTTTACTTTGTCGAATCGATCTTTCTTTGGAACTTCGTTGGATATATTTTGAATTTCTGGTTGCTTTCGGTATCTATTCTACGACTAAATGACGAATGATTTCTAAAATTTTAATGAGTAATTTTATGATTAATGATCGAAATATATAAATTCGAATGTTAATTCGCTGCTCTTTGAAAGTTTGCCTCTGGGACTTGACATTATTAGAATGTTAGTAATAAATGATTTGACTTATTTTCGTTAGAATAATATTGTGAGGTAATAATGTCGAAGATGATGATGACGACTATCGTTTTTTTACGACGAAGCTCATTTAAAAGTAATAACACCGAATTCATTGCAAAACATTTCTATGGCTGTTCGATAAATGATGGACGTGTCGAAGAATGTGAATAGTCGAAACTCATACAGCATATTCGTAAACGTCTTAATCCGAATGAAAGAATTTTGAACGAATTGATCGCAGCTGAAGCAAAATAAATAGAATCAATCTTCACTATTCATCTCCTGAATAATATCCAGCTCTTAAAAATCGTTCAAGTTATTGTAACGTGTCATGTGAATAAACAAATTGAAATTCTAACATGTTTTCACATTTGTCAAGTGAATTTCAACACTTTATAAACAAATTGACAGGTCGTCAATCGATTCAACAAAGCGTGGTAATTGGTAACGCAAAGCTTTTGAATCATCGCACGCGACAAAATGAGAAATTCAGTAGTATTGTTCGTCGAATTTATTCCGTCTGTCACGAGGAATTTATCAAGTGAGTCAAAAACTAAATATTGCACAAAGCGTTCATTCGTATTCACTTAGTCAAATTTTTCTAGAAATCTTTACGAACATTTCCGTGCTTTTACCAAAATTCAATTTCACACGCTTTAAACTGAAAATATTCGTCAATCTGAATTTTCTTGCGAGTCTCTACACACGTGATGCACTAATTAAACATTATAATTGAGAAACATTCAATCACGTCGCGAATTGCTCTATTAATTGTCGTTACTTTTGTTTGTTTGTCTATTAATGTCAACATTTGCAAACTGAATATGTATGTAAACCAATTTAAATAGTCGTTCGTTTTTTCTTTTCTGGCGTCTTTCCTTTTGATTCATTATCGATCGTAAAATATATTTTTCCCCCCAGGAAGTTATTTAATAATCAAGTAGACTAGTTTTCACAGTTTTTTCTTTTTTTTTCATCGAACGATCGCGAGACCTCGAAACCATAATGAATATCCTGGCGCATGACACGTTTGCTGCCATTGACAACGCAGCGAACCAAGACTTAAAAGGGGAAGCTCTTCCCTTTGCGTGTTCTTATCTACTTCTTGGCGCGATCACCACGCGAGATCTCATCTTGCGAAGCAATTTAAAAAAATTCAATAATTTTGCAAATCTATTTCCGTTCATAAATTACTCGCGAATCGTAAGTAAAATTTAAAACATAAATTCTAGCTAAATTCGTAAATTTACAAGTAAAATTTAAAACGTAAAATTTGTAAGATTCTAATTTGTTTAAGTGCACTCGTAAATTCGTAAATTTAAAACGTAACATTTGTAAGATTTTAATTTGTTTAAGTGCACTCGTAAATTCGTAAATTTAAAACGTAAAATTTGTAAAATTTTAATTTGTTTAAGTAAACAGTACGTGCATTCGTAAATTTAAACCGTAAAATTTCTAAGATTTTAATTTGTTTAAGTGCACCCGTAAACACGTAAAATTTGTAAGATTTTAATTTGTTTAAGCAAACAGTACGTAAATTCGTAAATTTAACACGTAAAATTTGTGAAATTTCAATTTGTTTAAGTAAACTCGTAAATTGATAAATTTGCGAGCGAAAATCTAAAACGTAAAATTTACAAGACACTAAAATTTGGAGACATGAGTTTTGGAGTTCGTTACAATTGGACCGAGAAACGAGCTTCTGCGAAGCAAACCTCTGTTGTTTGTTTAGAAACAGCGAGAAAAGAAAGCTTCTCAACAGGTTTCCTCTCCACGCGTCAAACAAACGAAATAAATTTGACAAACGACAAAGACACGGATTTCTAGATGCGATTTAATAATCGCAATCGAAGGATCTTCGAATAAAATGAAGAAAAATCCACGCTTCTGTCGTCCCGCGGGAATTAAAGGAAAAAGAAATTAGAACGAGAAGTTGAAACGGGATTAGAAAAAGTTCCAAGTGTTTTTAGATCAAGTTACCTTTGATAAGAGCGGCTGATTTATTTCTCGTGCGTAAATCGAGTTCCTGGTAATTAAAAACAGCGTGTACCGTGCAAACCGGCTTCGTTCCCTAGGGCTAGCCGCGATCCGATCGATTCTTTCTTTCTACTTTCGGTTTTCCCAGCGTCGAACGAACACGCAGGCCTGATTCGATGAAATTCGAAACCTGTTTGTCCGTGAAAATATAAGCCGATCGCGACGAAATATGAACTTGGTCGTGCTCTTCCATAAAAGAATGTTGGATGCTACGTACAAACGATAGTGAAATTTTTTTATATTTCGTTTACGAGTGTTTCATCCTGGATTAACTTTTTTTTTTTTTAAAGCTAGTTTTTTTAAAGCTATCTTTAAAGCTGTTAAATCTATCGTTTTCAAGTAGCTGAATATTATGGCGACTCTTGCGAATTTGTTTCTATTCGATCGTTTCAAGCGCTTCGAAAAAAATTCGCGACCAACGTTGCACGAAAACACCGTTATGGTAAATTTTCTTTATCGCAGACTGCACTGACGTATTATTAAGATTTTTACTCGACTGATAAGATGGATTGGAATATAATTTTCACCCGGGAAGGGACTTCCTTTAACTCGAAGAATTCTCATTTCTGTTTACTCATGACAAAATTTGCACCGCTGAATAAGGATTCTAATCCCGTGTAATTTTATATCTCACATCCGCTTGAAAATCGGAGTTATCCAAGCCGCTAGGAATATTCGACACGTAGCAAAACATTTGTAACACGATCGCTTAAGATTTCGAGAAAGCGGTAGAATTCTGTCTTGAATTATATTTATATTTTGTTCAGTCTAAATCACTGTTTTGTACGTGTATCTGTATCACTGTATATTACGAGTAAAAATCGATAAAAAATCTCACTCTTCAGCTCAAAATTATCCCAATCGCTCTCGATAGAAATCACTTAAATTCGCATTTGTCGAGAACTTTCTATTTTCATCTTTTAATTATCCATATGTACGTTCTTGTAAAATTGAAACTCCTTGAAATTAAAATTAAAAATCCTATACATACATAAGTCTACACGTATTCACAATTTTTGCAAATTACAAATTTAATATCTGCAAATTACAAATTATATATCTGCAATTTTCTAAAATCCATAATTTCCCAAAGAAAAAGTCCTGCATACCGACAATTTCCTAAATTAAAAATCCTATATATTTTCCAAATTAAAAATCCACGACTTACTCTACATCCACGAGCCCTATGTCTACAATTTTCCGTGCCGCAGTTCTCCAAGTTAAAAATCCTGCGAACGTGCACTTTTCCCTATATAATAAAAGGGCCCTGACTACAATGTGAATGTCCAGAAATGTTTCCAAATTTTACGATCTACGAAACTTCGATCCTCTACGATTCTCACGAGCGAAACGAAGGGGTTGAAAATCACCGTGGACAACAACGACTTACGGCTAAGAGTAGAATTCCTTTCGGAGCACGTATCACACGTCGCCGCTCCAATGATCGATCTCTGAACGATGGCCACTTAGGCTGCGGATGATCCGACCTGATGGCGAGTTCACTACGAAATACGGAGATGCAAGAGCGTATGTCCTACTTATCAACTCCGCGACGACCTATAAAACCACGCCGAAATCCCCCACACGATCACGTCTGTTAAAGTGAGAGAGAAAAAAAAGGAAGGAAGAAAACGGTGGAAAACGAAACAACAGGCAAAAAGAGTCGCGAGGGTCGGGATAGGTCTCATTGAATAGAGTGATAGGTCACATTTGAACATACCAAATTGTCGGTCGTGTGCAATTTTTCCGAAAGATACGTACGGTTCTGAATAATTTGAACGGCAGAAGGAGGGGCGGCGAACGGCACTCGATGCACGTTGGACTTTGACTGACTTGAAGTCTGCTAGCGTTGTTTCAGCTTTTTTCTTTCTCTTTTTTTTTTTTTCTTTTCTAATTTTAATACTGACAACTACCATCTACTGACTTACGGTACTCGTAATTTTGACGTTGACGTTCAACTTGCAACAATGTATCTTTTAAAGATTCGAATGGTCTTTCGCAGGATTGTTCATCATTTTGCTATCCTTCGATTTTCTTCCGCGATACTTCTTTGATTCCTTCGCTGCGAATTTCGCGTTTCAGTGTTTCCTGGCTGAACGAAGAAATTTTGCTTGAATCGATATTGGTTCGATAAGGCTTTGGGAAAATAATTATTATTAGAGAGGTTGTAGCAAGATGCGCGATGCAATTGGTAAATTCTACGCGAGAAATAAGTCAGAAAGAAAGAACAAAATGTCCACCGGATTTCTGAGCGTTTGATTACGTATGTATAATTGATGATATAATTACTATGTGCATATTTGAGAATACGATTTGCAACACGATAACAAGTAAACAATGTCCTCTTCCACGTGACTAATCAATCACGTTTGCTTTCTTTTAATAATATGATGATATATTACATTTTCCTTTTCCATCCACTTTAACGCAATCGTATGCTCACGAACCTGATAAATTCGATTCTCTCGGCCCCAAATAGACAAATTTTGTCCCTTCGTTTTATACCGAATTATCTTTTCACGTAGGATCACACCAACTGCCTGCCGCACCCTGCATAATTAAAAAAGTATCCTTATTTTGCCACCTGCTGCATAATGTGAAACCATCTTTGAAAGAAGAATGTTCCTTTTTTATGAAATTAAGAAAATTTAATTTAATATTCAACTCAACGTTTAATTAAAAATATCGACAATTTTTCGTCGAACATACGAACAGTTTCGAGTGATATTGTTGCATGTCGTAGCAAGAAAAAGGGGACGAGAAAAGGTTCAAGCAAAAAGAAATTTGCAAAAAAAAATTTGTTTTGTTTGATAAGAAAAAAAAAAAAAGTAGCTCGCGTACAATTTTAGTTTGCCTTTATTCATTCATCGAGCAGTACAGCAGAGGTCAAGAAGAAAAAAAAAAAAAAGGAGGAAAAATGAAACAGAAATTACGTCATTCAAAATAATTTCGTTTCTGTCATTCGTGGACTGAGAAATAAGGAAAAGCCACGTGTGTGATTTAAGAAGAAGCATTCGCAAAATACATATCATCGTAATAATTTGCATTCGAAACGCGTATGAAATGACTGTAATACTGTTCGAAAGGTATAAAACATCAATTTGGCCACGACAAAAGGTATCGTTGGAAGAGCGATCGACTGTGGTCAAGATTTCTCATTCAAATTCGCTCTTCAAGGTAAAGGATCATTCAAATGATCATTCTCAAAAGATACGTAGAGAATAGTTGTCACGAAACGACGAATTAATCACAACAGAACACCGTTTACGCGTGAACTTTAAAATTCACTGTTTTAAGCAATGCGAAAGCAATATTTGAATAATCGTATTTAAAAATATAAGAAAGTAATTTCACGAAACGACAAAGTTACAGTAGAGACCTGTTTCTATGAATTTCATTGACGTGAACGAAATATTAAAGAAAATAGCTTCGATTAAATAAACTCGTGTTGATTGAACTTTACTAATTTGAATCTGAACGTCTATTAGGGTAAGTCCGGGCGAAATGGTTCGATCTCATTATTTACGTTCATCAATTCAAGTCAATTTTCAGCTCTTTTTGTATATTTTGATCAGGACTTGTACTGTGCTCGTATTTATTTGAAAAACAAAGTAAATCATGAATAATGTGTATAATCGAATGGTCTCAAAGGTTTCCTACTTATCCATCAATAAATTATAACTTTACCAAGAAGTAGTGACTTCTTCGGAATACACACGTGTTAATATAGTCTTTAGAGATTGTGGTTACACTTTTGTAATGAGATATTGTCGTAAAATTGTAAAAAAGACGAGCGAGTCACCACTCGCAGATTAAACGGCCCGGTTTTTTAGGGAAGAGCTGACCTATCGTAAAATTGTGTATATAATAGTTAGTAAATACATCTATGGAGAAATGCCAACTGAATATGAAAGAAAAATGTAATAATAGATCAGTGGATTATAGACAAACGAGGGATTGAATGCCCTAGAGGCAATTCAAACTGGCAAAATGGGGGTGAATGCGGCATCTGGAGTTTTTGGCATTCTGCCTCCTACATTAAGGAAACGAGTGAAAAATAATGATTGTTCAAACAAAATTTTAGAACCACCTTCGTTACTAGGTATAGAAAAACTTAAAATTCATATTAAAAAGTTGCGAAAGTATAAATATGCATTAACAAATAAGCGTAAGATTTACGACATTGAACGATATAATTCCGAGTAATAATTAATATATTATAAATTATTCACAGTATTATTAATTCTCTGAAAAATATTTGAATTTGAAAATATGCATGGAAGTAGAAAAAAATTCTATTCATACTTACAATTGGATACATTGTGCGATTCAATTGAACGATTAAATTATTCTTTGAATTTTCCACTGGTTTTTCAAATCAACGATCGAAGAATTTTCTAGTATAATCATCAAAGAAAAAGGTATTTAATAAATATATGAAACTATAAGAATCGTGAAATGTGCTAAAAAAACAGGCATACCTCAGACGAATTCAATATTTCATTCCAAAAATAAAAAGTAAAAAATTTCGCCAGTCAGCGCGCCAGTATATTAATACCACCTAATTTGCACGTAATAATAACTAATGCCACGCATATATATATACATGAGCAAAAACTGGAACTAAAGAAGTTAAATCTTTTAACATTTTTTGAAATATCAAAGTAGATTTCAAGGAGAAGTTTATCCTCCAACGATTTTTCTTCGCTCTTTCTTTGCATCTGCGTCGCAATTCCCTTTATTCTGAAAAAAAAAAAAACTTGTAAACGTAAATCCTTACGAGAAAAATATACTATGACGGAAGGAAGAGTATCGAGTATGAAAAACGAAAAAAACAAAAAAAAAAAAAAGAAAACAAAAGATCCTTCTGCTTTAAAAACAGCAATTTACGTTGCACGTATTACGTATTGATATCTCGCGTGATCTCTATTGATGTCGCGTGATCCATGGATAATTTTCAAAAAAAGAAAGACACGTCGCAAGTAACATAATTCTGTGAATAATAATTATATATAGATGCATACGAATGGGTATAACAAATTATATTTTTATAGAATTGTCTGCGACATTGTTTTTTAACGTTCTATGCGAGTTCCAATTTCTGTGTTCACTGCTTCCAGTTCACCGTTTTTCTGAACTTTGTTACGTTCAAGTTCAATTTTACAAAATAGTAGACACTTAGATTTATATCGTCACGTTTGTCCCTGCGTTGTCCATTTTATTTCATTGTGCGTTGAACTTTACGGCACTAAAATTTAAAACGCAAGTACTATAATCGTTTCCCTATATCGTAGCACTATATAATATATTTCAATATTAGGAATAATTGATCATGGTCGAAAAGAAAAATTTTGAAGTTCATGTTCATTTAGCAGGTGTTGCTCTACAAAAGAAAAAAAGGAAGCAAATCGGAATTAAAAGTAGAGAGGGAAAAGGAAACGATAAAATTATGTGTGTAGAGATATGACATATCTTTAAAGCTGATAAATATAAATAATGTGATTGTAGGAATTAATAAACTAAAGTCTAATGAATGAAATAATACGTGATAGAATTGAAAAAGAAATATAAAATTCAAATAAAAATAAAATGACGAGTAGAAGGACAAAAAATACCAAACGGAATCACCATAAACCACGAAAGGAGAAAGGGATAGTTAGAGAAAAGATTCATTCAAAGATCATAGTGAAAAAGAATACCGACTGCAGAGCCGATTGTTTTAAAGATAAAAGATGTGAAAACCATTGAAACTATACGTCTGATTTCTTGGTCCACGGAAACGAATCGTTATCTATTCCGACGAAACTGTTCCAACTAGCGAAACGCAAAGAAAAATGCGCGTACAAACATTTGTCGTTTACAAACTTCCATTGCAATGGTTAATATTGAGTCTTCGTTACGTCACGATTAGTCTTTCGGTTTAAGTAACGATCCTCGAAATGATCCGGTTTTACAATTCAATCGTTGATGCAATTGCATGTAATTTTCCAGTCTCGACTTTAAACAAAAAGCAATACGTTTGAAAATATGTTGGAAATCAAGATCATTAATATTATAAACTGAAGATCATTAATATTTACGATTGAATGCATTAGCGTACAAAGTTAAATTGTTCTTTGAAAATTTATTAAAATCACGACAAATGAGAAAAACATGATTCAAAGATATGAACCCAATATTTTAATTATTGGAATACATTTTGAAGTGACTGAGAGGAATGATTCACAGAAATTACACGTAGGCAAAAATTATTTTAAGACTCTTCAATCTCTCGAAGAGTTTAAAAAAAGAACTACATAGTTACGTTATAGCTATGTAAGATATAAATACTATACGAATCTCTGGTAATCAGAGATGGAATAATATTTCAAACGATGAGCGTGCTGTTTTGCACGTACATATCAATTTCTATCGATATCGCATAATCAGTCAATTTACATGACATCGATATCAGACACGGAACACAAATGTTATATCAATCCGTAAAGAAACATATATTAATCCGTAAAGAGGCGCATTCTCGAAAGACGCAGA